CTTAAATTCCTGATACGAGATTTCTTTAATATAAATTCTAAATTATTGACTTGATCATTGTAGAGTATAAGATAACAGCCACCAAGCGGCTAAAATTTCAAAGTATATCGCGCAACTTTGAAATAGATGTTATTCGCTTAGAAGAAGGTAATAAAAGTGGTATTAAAATTCTAAACGTTATTATGTTGTAGGTGAAAATTTTACTACAAAAACTGTTGCGTGACAATTGTGATATATACTTTTATAAAATATGAATAACAGGGATGCACGCTAATTTTCAGAAATGAAAAAAAACCAAAGGAACTCAAGGATTAAGGTATTCAACTCACTAAAAATATAAATGTAGACAATGGCTATAATTGCGGCCCTGTTACTTATGTTTTTTTTTTATTTGTTTCAGTTTCTATCTTTTTACTCCACTACAAGATCACAAGCGTGTGATATCTCGGAATCTAGCTGCGGTGAACTCTTTGAATTTCATATATTTGAATGATGTGTGTGCTGATGTGGCTCAAGCATATAGCGAAATCGAGAAAAGTCGAAATCTTATAGAATAAGTAAATTAGTAAGACAAAATAAACGTCCCGTATTTTTAGAAATATTACTTAATATATTAATTTTGCAATTTTTTTTTCTACTGTTACATTGCAAAAATTTACTTTGTACCGCAAAGATTAATTTTAAATATTGCGTATATTGAATTCGTTGCGTTAATATTTTTTATCTGAAGAAGTAACGATATGAATTTAAGATTACAATAGTAATTTATTTGTCGAAATTAAAATTATTTTGTAATGAATTTTGTAACGTGAAAAATATTTTATGTTGTGTTTATGTAGAGAGAGCAAGGCTTACCGTAGCGTTTAGGGGTTGTTTTGGTCACGCTGTTTACGCATTTTATTTTTTCATTATCTCTTTCTATCCTGCTATCATAAGTTATTCTTACTTCGCATTACCCATGTATCTTTTCTGCGCATGTTACCTTTTAAGTCTGCGCAAGTCCTTTAAATATCCTGCGGTATCTTGCCCCCTACCAGTCGCACGGCGGCACTCGTACGGGTTCACGCATCGAGTTATCCCTCCCCCCACTACCGTTACTACTTTCCCTTACAGTTTTCCGCTTTTCTCCTCCTTTTCCATCATTACCTGTTGCGTACATACTGTTCGGCGCAGAGTGCCGAACGCGTATTCCGTGTGACAAGCGATATTCGACTTGTACCTTTGTCCTCATACGACAAAATCGCGTCGGGAGTGTGTAAAATATCGTGTGATCGTCGTAATAAAATGCGTCGTAATAAAAATCGGGAGTGTCGTTTAAAGGATCGCGCGACTTTTGTATTTAAAACGCGTTCAAGGCGTGCGTCGCGACGCGAGTGAATTTCTTGAAGACCACTCAGAGGAGGAGGAGGCTCAGGTGAAGCATCGGGCGCCAACGGAGCAACGTAAGAGTGAGTAATCATAATCATTCATTTGTTATATATTTTTTGCATAATGTTGCAGATAAAATAATATGGAATGTAGCAAACATAAAATTTTTTAAATATTTATATTTATTGGACCGATCGGGAAGTTATTTTGAATTTTTGCATTAATTTTTAAAAATCACTTAAATTTTCAAATTATTAATTAAACATTTTTTTGATATTTCTTTGTTTAGATAATTGCATAGATAAAATTAAAATAATATAATTATTGTGTGCAATATTAATATTTCTCAAGTATTAATTATTTTAAACGCACTTCTAACCCAAGTTTATTTTTGTATGTTACAGATTAACTTTGCAGTACAACAAAACAGCAACTCCGTTGCTGCGCATCGTGCGGTGAGTGAATTTGCATTTTAATTTAATATAATACTGACTGTTTAAAAGTCTTGTGCTTCCGTGAATTTTTTAAGTATTTTGAATTGTAAAAACATTAATTTTTGCAAGAAAAGTTATTTCTTATTCTAGTAAACTTAGTATTTATCGCATGTTTTATGTATATTTCTGATTGTTAATACATTAGTCTCTTCACTTTTTTCTTACTCTCATATACATGAATTTAATAGAATATGATCAATTTTAATACACAATAAAAAGCAGATCATACAATACAATACAAGTATTATTGTATCAATAATATCAAATTAAAATACATCATTTCATAAATCAATTGTTTTAAAATGGATAGATTAGAACTTAGATTAGTTGCTCAATATATTTAGCCTTGGTAATATTACAATGCATACTTGAATATGAAATATGAACACATAAAGATACGAATTTTAATATGATAGATTCTATTATTTATATACATAATTAATTACACATTTATTTTATTCTCAGTTTTCAAATTCTCAAATTTATTGCTGTATTATTTAAAAACTATATATGAAGAAGAAAAATAAATAAAATAAGTCTATAGAATATACAAATTTTCATATAAAATATCAGTTTTATATAAATATAAATATAAATATATTTAAATTTTTATTTATATTCTTCCATGATATGTTCATAAAATATATATATATGTATATATATTTATGAATAACTAATCAGACCAAGTTAGATATATTGGGTTATTCGGAACATGTGTAGACTTTTTTATGACAAAATAAAAAATAATTCTTACATATTTATAAGTTCATTTTTATTCAGTATGTTTCACAGAAACATAAAATAAAAATTAATATTACATTTAAGATAATTTATTTAATGGAACAGCGTACATTTGCGATTAAAAGCTTTTAAATCAACAATATATTTTTGCTATATGCGAATTTCTTCATAATCTTCCCTAGTTTATCCATACATCCGTGGTTCCATGGCTTAATTCAGAGATGGGAATTAGTTGCAACTTTTGATTCGATTTTCTGATTGACGCCCACTGTCCCCTCCTTGCCGCTCGCATTCTAATAACGAGTCACCAAGCGCGTTAACAACGCCCGTAACTAAGGTGCGCGATACTCAGCCTCAGGAATGTCCATATCACAAATGCAACAAGATAATAAATATGAGACAATTATTAACGCGTACTTCAACAATAGTATCTCACAGGTAATGTGGAAATCTATATTTATCCCATATTTATTATCTTGTTGCATTTGTGATTTGGACATTTCTGAGATTGAGTATCGCGCACCTTACTTATGGGCGTTGTTAGTGCGTTTGATGACTTGTTGTTAGCATGCGAGCGGCAAGGAGGGAGCAGGAGGCGTCAATCAGGAAATCGAGCCGAAAGTTGCAACTAATTCCCATCTCTGGCTTAATTTATTTCATGGTCGAGCACGGAAATTCGAAATTCGCGGTCCCGTCGATGATGGTCAAGCACGAATCTTGAAATAACGTTGATACGATCGATCATTGAATAATTGTCGACTATTAACACAAATTGCGGACGCAAATAGCGGAAACTGAGCCGAGCTCTGCCCTATGCGTCTTGTGAAAAACGTCGAGACAGTCGCTCTCGGATTTTCGATGCAAATCGGTAACTGAACTGAGTTTTGCGCTAAGCAAAAACATGAAAAACACCAAGGTGGTTATCTTCGGAATTCTCTCAAGTGAGAGATGTGCACACGGAAGTGCGTATAATGTGAAATTAAATCGATAACTTTTAAAATTAAATCGTTGCTTGTTAAATCATTACATTGTTATTTTTATCCGTGTTTCTCAGCTCATTCAATTTATACGAATTTTGAAGTATTTAGATCTTCTATTAGGTAGGATTTTATAGATAGAATTATTTTGTTAGATAGGATTTTTTATTAGATAGGATTTTTGGTTAGGCAAGATTGAACAATTTTCTACAAATTTTGTATTCTTTTTAATTCTTTGCATCGATAAACTTTGAAACATTTATTTTTACAGTAAGTTTGCAGTTTATCGATGACAAAGATAATGAAAACTTCGGGTGGGCAAACAGCAAGATTTTTTTCGAAAAATGAAAGAAATTTCTTGCACAAATAAAGCATTACACTAAAAGCACATGCGTTTAGATGTTCAAATGTACAGTCTGTACAGTACAGATAATAATATGTATGAATGTAAGAAGAGGAAACAAGTAAAGATTAAGGAACTTTATTCATTTTTATATTGTCTGCTATGTTCTCTATATTTATAATTATGTACGCACAATGTATTTACCATTTTCTGTTTTCCTGGATATTAAAAATATATTTGAAATATAAAACGTGTGAAATATTTTTATAATTTAATATGTTTGTTGATATAATTATTGTTTATATAATTTAATATTGGTTTTAATTTAATTCTATTCTTTTAGATATAACATAATAAGAAGAATTAATGCGAAAAGAAGAATTTGCTACTGATTCCACAAAACATTGTAGTCAGAAATATACATGAACAAGATAAAGATAAGATTGGAATTACGATTTTTTAAATTGACATTTAAAAAGGATTTTAATCTTATTCTCATTGTTATTTTTATTGTTCGCTATTATCTGTTACACATAACACTTTAATAATTTTTAAAATAGATTACAATAATTCTCCGTTTCTGTTAAGAACACTATCTTATCACTGCGTTATCTCTTTGCACTTGTACAAGTTGCGGACAAATAATTCGTCATCGGTAATTCCACAAGAGACATTAAGACATACTTCCACAGACATTGCGGTTCCGTGAATTTGTAATATCCTGGAATTGAGATTAGTGTTTAAAAAAAACTGCGAATTGAATGACATAATTGTATAATTTTTGGATATTTGATTTATTACATTAATTTCCAAGCAACAAATTATTCAGTTCAATTAGAACTGAGAAACATGAATAATCTTTAAATCTTACTGCACTTTTTCTTTTTTCTTTTTTGTTACTTGCAATATATATAAATAATTTTTTTTGTTTCCCTGTAGAAGATGTCAGTTATTTACAATGCGTTGCTATTTTGTATAGTGCCCCAATTTTTTTTTTTAACTGTCTTGTCACCGATTATTTGCTTCAGCAGCGCTGGCGTCGGCTTGTCACTCGTCACTGTGTTTCTCCCACCCGTGTAAGTTCACGCGATTCATATTTCACTCGGTCGCACTCGAGGAATCCAGAATCAACAAAGTGCGCGTGTACGTGGAGCAAACCGTAATAGTCTGAGTTTGCCGTCGCACCGTGATTACCATCCGCGTGTTGGCGTCCTCTAATAAACGTTCTCTAAACACAAGCGCAACAGGTACGTGCAACTGTCAACAGACCAAGAGCCTTATAGTGCGTAATTTTGCGAGCAATCAGACAATTTTGTTCTTTAAATAAAGAAAAAAACTTTGACTTTTATCGCAAAAGAATAGTTTGTGTTTGAAAAAAAAAACCATTAAAATGGAGATTGCATCTTAGAGTGAAAATAAATCATAAGTTTTATAATCAAGATTTCGGTTAAAAATTGATTCACTATAAGAAAATTAAAATTCTATAAATAGTTAATTTTTATAAAACATAAATGAGATTGACATTTTAATTTTCTATCAAGGCGTACTTGAGATTGTGACTTGCAATAGCGTATAGCTCTGATATTTTTTTTAAATCAATTTTGTTAAAACGGAAAATAAATTTAATAAATTTAAATAGAAAACTTCTTCTGTTTGTGAATTCTGAATAATTGATTTGGTGTCGACGAATTTATATACGTAGTCAATGTCGTCATTCTTGATAATCTTTATTGCCGCAATTTGAATAGCACGATAAAACGTGATGTGCTGGTTAAAAAAGAATCCATAAACGTTGTGATTGAGAAGAAATTTACTTAATAAGATTTAGGAGAAATGTAAAAGGTAGAAGATAACGGAAACAAAAGATAGAAAGTGAAAGTACAATAATATTGATTGTCATGCTATTAACGCAAAGAGAGGCGTGATAGGTGTTTCTTATCGGTTATCTCGTGGCCGATAGTTTACTAAAAGTGAGGCATGTAGAGTGGTTATTTCACTCGACCATGATAAAATCGATTTTTCGAAGGACACGTTTGGCGTATGCTCGTGATATGAATTTTACGAAAGTACAGACAAAGATACGAAATTTAAAACAATTTTCTTTCTGCAAATCTTTAAGACTTTTAATGAATATTTCACCTAACATTAGATGTTGCGTTCACCTTGAATCAAACGTATGTTAGATGTGTTTAACTTTATTCCCACATCGCATGCAGATGGAAAATAATGGATTCAATGATCATACACGAAAGATCGAACTTTTTTCATTTTTAGAGTGCCAGAGGGTTTTTTTAATTTTTATTTAGCACATATTCGATATATAAAAAATACCTATTAGATTTTTGCAACAATAGTTTTACCAATTACAATTAATATTTATTAATCAATAACTTTATTAAATAATATTTTTACCAATTGTTTATTTATTTTACTAAATTAAGACACATTAATGCTTATGATCATTTTTTTTACGCCTGATAGTAATATTCTACTAAATACGAGGTATGATGACGTAATCGTTCGGCTTACGTTATCGATATCCACTGATACGGTATTAATAGAGCATTGAAATTTGTGCAAACGTGTGAATCACTCGTGTTACGTATCTAATAAGCGCGTACATATTGAATACATTGCGTAGAATCATGTTCCGCCTACGCTTCTCTTTCGAGACATTTAAATTTCTTCACAATAAATACGTGATTGAACAATGCATTTCATTCATAGTTTTACTAATAAAAAAGCTCTTACTTGAGCTTTATTTTAATGATGCATTTAAATGCTAGATTAGGATGTCAAAAAAAATCCTCAGAAAAATTAGGAAATTAAAACAAACATAATCATTATTAGGGAGCGGATGTTCGTGCACGATCCCGTATCGCGCGCAGAGAACCGCTGCGTGCGAGTGAGTCGAGTATACACATTATACACGATAGATATATTAGGTGCGTTCGGGGAGACGCTATTAGCGCTATTTGCGTCATTCTATCTTTATTGCTCATTAGACATAAACAAGGATAGAATGACACAATAGCGCTGATAGCGCGCTCCCCGAACGCACCCATTGAATTCAGATGAATTGATAATTGGGTTTTCTCGAGAAATGCTACCTCAGCGAGTACTCAACTTACTCGCACGCAGCGGTTCTCTGCGCGCGATACGGGATCGTGCACAAACATCCGCTCCCTAATCATTATTAATATCAATTTTATTAAAATACTAGAACAGGCTCTCTCGTATTGAAAATTCAAAATTATTGAAAACGGTTGACAAGAGCCAAAATACAAATATTATTATGTCCTGACAATAGCATTTTGAATTTTGTTAGCTGTTTGAAACAAAAATTGTCTTTTTCAATACGTACTAAAAGACAAAAAGACACTATTGATAAGCACCAAAATGCAATTATTGTTATTTAATGTCTTATTTTTTCAGTAATTACTGAAAAAATGAGAATGATAATCGATAACCTACAGATATCGTCGATTTTGCAATACACTGATATATGCGATTCACGTAATCATTTCTACGTTTTTTATGTCCATTGATAAGACTTCAAGTGAAAAATATATTTACCTTAAATTTAAAAATTATAAGTTTTAATAATTTTTTTAGCTATATGTATATTAATATAAACCTATAGCCATTGTATCGCGCAGTGATAACTACCTGTTGGTTTTTGTTAACTTAGTTTACTTTTTAAATAAATTTTTTATATAACAAGTAGTACATTTTCTCTTAATCATTTATCTCTTAATCATTAAAATCTGATTAAAAGTATTCCGTCGAAAGAGGATCATGAAGTTATTGAATGTAAAATACGTTACAGATTCCGCAAATTGTGATAAAGATGATAACTCAGCGAGATATTATTATATATAAACGTATACATGTACATACATGTGTGCAAATGTAATAACATCGATATTGAATATTAACAAGCATTATGCTACTTAGAAACTATCAGTTTTGCAAAGAAAATATCAAATGTATTAATCTAGAAAATTAATTAATTAATTTTATGTAGAAATTATTCTTTCTTTAAAATTATCTACTTTGAAAAACACTTTAATTTATTTAGAATATGCGCATAAAATCGATAAAGATACACCTATATCATTGAGAGATCATTTTTGAGTGTTCTTAATCCAAAAAATATCCGTATCAGTTTCTATCGACAGTGTTTTCCTGTAAGAGTGCATTTTATCAGGTGGTAAGATATATGTATATTTGTATGTGTCAATGATTTTGAGCTCAAAGTTTATAGCAATTTTTAATTGGTTGTTTCAAATTTATCTTTGTTCGTATATATAAAAAATTGGATTGGACTGACAAAGTTTCTTCTTCGTCAAACGTCTTAACAAGTGCTGCAATACGCAATGTTCAATATAAAATTTAAAATTCAGTCTTAAATGAAGTGAAGAATTCTCCGTAGATTTTGCATGAACATTGAAAACAAATATTAACGCAATCTATGAAATTTTTACAGTTATGCCAATGTTTTAACATGTGACCCAAATTCTTAACACGACACATCAATTTAAAATTTCTTTTCTATTTTTTACAGTTAAATTTTAGTCACGATAACAGCGTCGATAATGAGCAAAATGGATCCGCCCAGTTACACATCACCACCATATCCTTATCCGCAACCGCCGCCGCAAGAAATGCCACAGCCACAACCTGTCCCACAACAAAGTAAATATAAAATCCGAGTTAATAAAGGAGTGGAGGAGAATATGACGAGCTATGCTGTCACATAAAATAATTAAAAATTAATTCTAAATTTTATAAAAAGTGTATATTATATGCCAAAAATTTTATTAATTTAATTGTAGATTTGATCATTATGCCGACAGTTTTCGGCTCGGAATCACAGCATTTAATTTGTCCACATTGCCGTGCCAACATTATGACCAGCGTAGAATCAGGACCAAACTCAAAAACGCACATGTTTGCGCTACTTCTTTGTGTATTTGGGTAAGATTTTGAGCAAATAAAAAATGTTGATTTTCTTTATAAATATATAAGTAATGACAATTATGGCATCGCAGCGCTACTAAATACACGTGCTTATTATTCGTTTGCATAGAAAAATATTCAATTAATAATACGTTTAATTAAAACCACATTTTTTAGCTTACCATTACATTTTATATTAAACATGCTTTAAATTAAAATATTTCGAGAATTAAAATAGTAAAAAACTCGGTCAGTTCTATTCTTACATTCTCATTATTTTCAGACTCTGTTGTTTCGCACCGTGTCCTTATTGTATAGACAGTTGCAAAGTGCAGAAGCATTATTGTCCGGAGTGCAAGAATTATCTTGGAGAGTCCAATAATTAGAATTATTGGACAACTACAACAAGAATCAAAACTGCGGTGTTTAATCAATTATAATAAAAAAATATTAATAAAATGCATGTGATTTATGCAAATAGCAGTTTTGATCGCAATGTATCGCAAATAAAAATGTGATCGAATTAGTCATAAAACAGTCACAAAATTCTTAATTTTGTATTTAAGGATAAACAGGAATGAACAGGAACACGATTTAGATTTTTTCTTCTTTATTTTTATAAGTATAGATAGATAAAACATATACCTATATAAGTATACATATTATAAATTTGTATAATTGTTTAATTCGTGACATGTCTTTACTGTATCTGTTATTTTACTGTATCTATGATTTTCTTATAAAATCAAAAACGTAAAAAGTATTAAGACAATATATTTGATTTACAGAAAGACGTATATTTCTTTATTCAAATAATGTATTTGCCAAATGCATGTATTTATTTAATTTTCCTTTGAAGTTTATACTCAATTTTTAACTCTTACACTATCTTATTATTATCCAATTATTATAATCCGATTTATTTATTTTTATAAAATTCTTTTACAAACTGCTCGAGTTTGTAACTAATAATATACCAAAACCCGTTTGCTTCTCTAACAAGTAAAGCGTGTCTTATTCAGTTACTTATTGAAAGCTGTTTACACAGTACGTATCATCACAGTATTGTATCAACTAACAATCTATCTCAGTGTTCGGTGACATCTCGAAATGATAAGATCACCGTTAAGTTAGTGTTTAGCATTCACGATTTAAAGTTGTGTTAATTGTATTATTCTTTTTCGAAATTGTTAACTGTTACAAATTACTGTATTCTGATTGATACACGATTTTAATATGTAGAGGTTAGTAACTATAAACGTGAAATATTTCTGTTTGAAAATGTAGAAAAATGTATACACCATGACAAGTATAACTTTTTTTATTTTCTCAAAGGCACGTGTCTTAGAATTACCGACATTATTAGTGCTTCTCTCAATGTGTTTCTTTTTTCTCTTTATACTGTATGACCAGATATAAAACGATTAATAACTGATAAATTATTAACTGTATTTGTGTAAAGATTATTTTAATAGTTATCCTAAACCGATTAAAAATATATTACTTCTATGATTATCAGTTAAAGCTTTTAATTTAATATGATTTGGAATAAAATAATGTTAGTACGTCTAAGCATATTTTCTAAGACAAACAACAACAAAATTTAAACACATTGATCTTTATTTCAAAAAAATATATATGCTACAACAAATATGAAAAAAAATATCCGTTTATGTGTAATTTTAATCTAATTCGAATGTAAAATATTTCCATTGGATCATTTACATAATAGTACGCATATATACATATAAGTATGTACAGCAGAGATGGGAATTAGTTGCAACTTTCGGCTCGATTTTCTGATTGACGCCTAACTGTTCCCTTCTTGCCGCTTGCATGCTAGCAACGAGTCACCAAATGCGCTATAACAACGCCCGTAACTAAGATGCGTGATACTCACAATCAGCCTCAGGAATGTCCATATCACAAATGCACAAGATAATAAATAATGGGACAATAAATTTCCACATCACCTGTGAGGTACTATTATTGACGCATTCTGCAACAATAATACCTCACAAGTGATGTGGAATCTATATTTATGCATATTTATTATCTTGTTGCATTTGTGATATGGACATTTCTGAAGCTGAATATTATGCATCTTAATTACGCGCGTTGGCGACTCGTTGCTAGCATGTGAGTGGCAAGAAGGAGGCAGGAAGCGTCAATCAGAAAATCGAGCCGAAAGTTGCAACTAATTTCATCTCTGATGTACAGTATTTACATCCAAAATACATTTAAAAAATAATTAAAAATATATTTTATGCGTGCTTATCAGTAAGAAGAGAAACTCTATTACATTTAAAATCTAATTACTTGATAAAATATATTTTGCCTTTCAATAAACTTAAAATTGCATTTATCGGAATTATTTGAATTTTTTATATATTCTGCACTTTTATATTATTATGTATTTATGAGCGTATTCACTGTAATTTTTTTTTATACGTTTGTTTTGTTTTAATATATAAAAATTTAGAACTGCATGTTGGATACATTTGTGTCATTTCTAAAAAAAAAAATTTTTTTTGCAGATACATCGAATAAAAATTAATATGGCGTTTGAAAACGTTTTATTAAATGGCGGATTATTATTAATCGCTATGATAGTTCTTTCTACTGCTATAAAAAATGACTTTGCAATTAATCGTTATCAGTCAGATTATATAAAACCGTTACATTATGATATCAAAATAAGACTTTACATCAAAAGAAATATTTTTACCCGTGAACATAATTCCACCATTCGTATTGATCGTAAAATCTCAAATATAACTATACGATTGTCGACTAATGGTATACATAAAATTTTTTTAATTGACAAGAATGAGAAGGTTTACATACCAAAATATGTGGTTTATAAAAACCACACTATTTTTCTTGATTTTAGCAAGACATATCAATCTCAATATAAAAATTTTATATTATTACCTGGTACATATATTTTAAAGATGACATATATACATATCATGTTTGATTCAAAGAACTTTGACAAATATCACGTAGGCGCAAATGGAGATCAAGTGTAAGTTAAAAGTGTCAAAAATACATTGTTATATTATTATAATATAACGAATATTTATCTATTATTATGCTTTACAAAAAAGAAACAATTTCACAATATTTGCTAATATTACAATATGCCTACAATTGCGAATTATATAAAATATATAAAATTTAAGAAAGTATTATTGAAGTACATTCAATATTGTGCATAATATTTATCGATTGTTAGATGTAAAAGTATTAATACTAAAAATCGTTGCAATCAAAATGTATATATTATTATAAATTATTTAAAAATTTTTTAAATTATATTGTTTTTAATTTTATTATGATTAAAAATTAATTATTATCTAAAGAAGATCGTTGAAATGTAACAGAGTGGCCGCGACAGGTATTAAGATAATGAGATTCCGACAACTACTTCCGTGGCCGACAACTATTTCAAGCAAGCTGGAAAAGCAAGGATTCAAAGCCTCTTTTAATATTTCCATTAAGCATGAGCAAAATTACACAGTTTTATCGAATATGCCTGTGCTAACAAAATATAAAGACAAAAATTACATGTGGACATGCTTTAAACAATCACCTTACATGTTCGCTAAACATTTGACGATTGTGATAACTACATTCTCTAATATTGCTTTATCATCAAACATCAAATTTTGGTGCAGAAAAAACATGACAAAACTTGTACAAATTGCGAAAACCAATGTTAAAAGGATCGCACGATATTTGATAAAAAGAAATGTTATGAAAGTACCAAAAATGGATTACGTTGTAATCAAGGATTTTAATCACAATGTCCCCACGTCTGACAATCAGACTTGGGGACTCATTCTGCAAAGGTAATACAAATTATTAAAATTAAGATAAGGATATAAGAATATTAATAACATTTTAAAATTAAGAAATAAACATATTTGTGTCAGCATGTTAATTAAGAAACAAAATTCATACAATGTTACTTGCATTATTGCACATAGAATTATTCCTGCCTCTATTTTAAATATAACATTAAAATAATTATTCTTTAAATTAATTAATTAATATTAATATAGATTTCACTATTAAAAACATACAAAATAACTGCGTGTTTTACAAATAAAGCAATTGCTACAGAATCTGTTTTATTGCATCAATGATATTAAGATTCATTGAAATTCTCTTTTGAATTCTTATGTACTTTTTTCATTTGTGTCATTAGTTATGTAAAAATATGCCAAATTCTTTGTGTTTCATATTCTATGTACGATTATGTAAGTGAACAGTTATTGTTCCACGTTATTTTATAGACGAAATAAGAACACAAAATTGTTTGAATATTTCTTATAGTATCTTTCTTATAGTAAAACAGTTTTTAAAATATATTTATACTTAATATTTATAATATTTATATTTTACTCTTAAAAATAATTTTTAGAGATACGTCTATTATTTACAATAAAAAATTAGATTCCGCTATGCGCAAAATACAAATTGCACACCTTATAGCGCATCAAATGGCATCTCTTTGTTATATTGATGCGATTCTTTGGTCAAAAAATAGTTTTACTATGTTTTTAGGAACGTTTATCTTGGATAAGGTATTACCTATATTTTTACTATATATTACATTTTGAAACTTTATGACAAACAATGAAAAGTTTAATAGTAGCAATCAACAACACAAATTATATGTCGCAAATACACTTTTCAACTAAATATTCATTTGATCATATTAAATTTTTCAGATACGACGAAATGGTCACATGATGGATTTAATTGTTGTCCAAATGCAAGAATTTTTCCGTTTCGTCATTCCTTCTTATGTAAATCCTTTACTTTCGATCAACACAAACATTACTAAAAATAAATTACTCTTGTCTTCTTTACATAACATGAAATGTAAGTTAAAGTAAATATGCATATAATTAAAAGTTACATATATACGATTATAAATATAATCAAATATTGTAATAATTGTGCGTAAATTTGTAAATATTACAAAAAAAATTTTAAAAAAGTTTTTTTTATGTTTTCTCATTATATAAACAGTAAAATTAAATAAATAGAAATAAAATATAGTTTATAATTTAAATAAATATAAACAAAAAATATTGATAATTGTTCACAGATTCTCGAATGTTACAAGAAAATTGAAGAAAATTTGGCTATGAATTCTGTCGTTATACAACTATTATTTATTTATTTTATAAAATTTATGATAAATATAATATATGTATAATTTAAACTATAATAAAGCATTATAATTTTTTAATTGTTACAGCATTTGCAATGTGGCGTCTGTTACATTTCATTTCTAATGGTATATTTTGGACTGGTATCCGCAAATATATACACACGTGAGTAATAATATTATAATAATATAACAATTATTTAAAAATTTTCCAAAAATATATAAGCTATTTTTTAAATTAAAATATACTTTCCGTTAATGTAAACAATATAATCTATTTTTAAACTTTGAATAATTAAACTAATATATGTATGTATATTTCGCGATTAATAATGATTTCTATTAAGAGACAATTTTGCTAAGAAAAAATTTATTCCAATTTTAATATAAAACTAGATAAAAAGAAACTATTCTCTTATCTGGAAAAAGATATCTCACATATAACATTTTGTGTATAATAATTACATATAATACATGATATAAATTACTATTTATTTTATATGAATTTTATTTAATTCATTTTATATGAATAGTAATTTTATATTTACTAATAAAAATTTTTTCAATATTTACTTTAAAATATTCTTTTTATTTTTTTTTAGATATAATTCAGGCACGACAAATGACTACAATAATTTATGGTCCGTTATGCAACATACTATAAATTCAAGAAATAGTAAATACAAATTGAATATAAAGAATTTAATAGATATTTGGACAACGAAAACATATTATCCTGTACTAAACGTCACGCGAGATTACAGGAATGACGCGGTGGAGATAGTCTTCGTCAAATCTATCGATATAATTGATAAGGATACAGAAAATTGGATACCTGTGACTTATACAACGAACTCATCTTTACATTTTACAAAGGCCAATAATTTGTTTTGGTTAAATTCGTATAATCAGAGTTATAGAATTGAAGGGATTAACAGAGATGATTGGATCATAGTTAACATACAACAAATTGGTAAATATTGAACGATAAATTTATTATGCTTTTAAAATAATTTTGTAATTAATAATCTAGAATATTTTCTCAATACAAATTAAAATATTTTATTTAAAAATAAATTTGTGTGAAGAAATGTATAAAAAAAGAAAATGGTATTAAAAATAATTCCTTGATAAATTCCGTCAAAAGACTTTAATGATGAAAAACTTTTTTTTTAACTATTTTCTATATAATAGGATATTATCGTGTCATTTACGATCTTGAAAACTGGAAAAAACTTGCGCACTACTTAAATTACGAAAATACCGAAATACATGTTCTCAATCGTGCTCAAAATTATCGATGATGCGTATCACTTCTTATTACAAAAACAAATTAGTTACAAGATGTTTTGGAATATCACGAGCTTTCTAACACAAGACACAGATTATGTAGCATGGTATCCTATGATTAAAGCTTTCGAACACATCATGTGCATCTTTCCAATTGAACATAGTAAAGATGTAACGGTAGGTAATGATAGATTTCTACGAAAATGAGTTACGCATTACACACTGCGTATTAAAAATACGTTAGGTCTTATGTGAACCAATAATTTTATTATAAAAATTTAAGAAATTTAATTTCTTCTTTACCCCAACAACCGCAGTCAGCTCTTTAATTCATATTCTTTATATTTGATTAATTATTGCATAGAATCTTTATTTGTTTTAATTTTTTTTTAAATTCAAATAAATGTGTATATGTGCAGTCGTACATACATTATATTTTTCATAAATAACAATAAATATTTTTATATTATTTAATCATTTTTAGGAAATGATGGAAGACATATTTTATATCTTTTATGTATAAAAATGCATATAAGATTTAAATTTTTTAATGATTTTTAGAGAAACATGATAAAAATGTTGGAAGCACTTGTTATAAACATAGGGTACTATAAAAGATCCGGAGACAATGATCTTACTAAATGTTTAAGAGAAGAAATGATAAAATGGGCATGTATTTTCGATATTTCCGATTGCCGAAAGATAGCTACGACAAAATTGCAGAAAATGTTAAATCTTGGACAAAAGATGTAAGCTATTTTAAAACCATGATATTTATAAAATCAAATTTTCTTACATTTTTGTACTATGCTGGATACATTATTTTATCATGAAAATACAAAATATAAGTTAATTTGTAATAAAAAATATTTTTTTTATAATACAGTGATTTGTCGCCGAAAGAATGGATATACTGCAAAGGATCAATGGTGACGAATGTTGAAACTTTGCATTCTTTGTGGCTTTTGTGGCAGGAAACATTAGATACTAGAATTTTAGAATTTATGGCTTGCTCTGAAAATTCTATTGTTATTCACAATTACTTGAAAGACGTAAAATTAGAGAAATATAAAACTGAATTCAAAGCCAATGAGCAGGCTTATATATTTCTTTTCACTGTAGCGAAACATGCAAACAAGGACACGGTGTTTACGATGATCTTACATAATTTTGACAATCTAAAACCTAAGTAATGTTACTTTTCTTTATAAATATATTCTGGTAATTATAAAAACTTTTTTACATTTATTAAATCTGTTATTGTGTTTTTGCAGGCAGGTTAACACAATTGCAACATTAATTGTAATTATTACGCATATACAGTCCGTACATAACTTGAAAATGGTATATTTTTTTAAATCTACTGTTACAAATCGACACACTCATTTATTGATTTCTTAATATAAAATTTATAAGTATCTATATTAGTTATAAACATTACATATCTGATTTGCTGAGCACAGCAAATAATATTTTGTCAAACTGTAGTGCGAGAAAAAATTATATTTATTGATATTGTCGAAATAATCTGTTTTAGGTGGAAACTTTCGCGAAAGATCATTATTCACAACAAATACCAATTCAAGCTGTTAGAAGGAAAATAAAGAAACGAAAACAGGAATATTCAAGACTTATCGAAAACTACATGCTTCTAATTTAGTCAAAGTGAAGATAAAGCTAAGAAAAATAAAGAGCCAAACATTTGAATCGATAGAAGATAATAATTTTACTCGTTGTGTTTATACGTTTACATTTATATATTAGTAATTGTATACAAATATATTTTTCTTTCTAGTTTTTAAGTATTACGCGTTTCTGTTTTTAATTATTTTTAATATTTTAATATTATTATTATTAATGCTGTAAATTTTAGATAATGCAGATATATTCTTCATCGAAACCAGAATTGATTCCAAATTAAAAAATATATGAGAAAAGAAAATTGATTATAAAATGCTTTATTTATTTTGCTCATAATATCTAGAAATCCGTAATACGAGCACAAAGGACTCGCTTCCATTAATGTTCCCAAATCTTGCTAATTTAGCAGAGTGTCAACAATTTGTCAAGAGAATTAATAAGCAGACATATAAAATTACTAACCATCGGAAGAAAATATAGTTTAGAGATCATTCAGCTTATTTATTCGACATATCTTTTCTCATGTACACATAAATGTTATACACATAGACGACAGAACAAACATTAAATAGTTTAGTGGTTCGTTACTGCCCTTCTCTCTCCCTCTTTTACTCCTTCCTATTCTCTCCTTGTCGTGAATAGTCCTATATCCTATCATTAATTCGTACAATCCATCAATAATGTATTTTGTGATCACCATATTTATTCTGTGATTTTAATGCTTATATAGAAGTCGCTTAGTTGCAATTGCGTTACATATTTCGTACAAGCCTCAACAATTCAAGTACGATCTTACAGCGAAATTCGTTTGGCGATTCTCGGGGCCGGCGTCAGTTGCACAAACGCATAAAAATATATAAACAATTGCGGTTTCTCCCCTTCGCCCGAAGAAGGTTCTTAGCCATATTATGAATATTATAATTCCTGATAATTTTAATCGCACGGGGCATAACAACACTTAATAAGTAAAGAATACATTCTAAGATAATTTGTTTTTAAATCTCTTCTTGTCTTTTTCATCTTGATCACTACACAGGCATGAAGATCGGACCCATACACCAGCTTGTTAGTTATCTATGATGATATGATATGATAATACGACATTAAATATGTATCTTATACACTGTGTGACGATAAACGCGCAAAAGGTTATTGCCAAAACTATAATATAAAGGTGATACATTGACAAGCGTCGTCCAATACCTTCCTAACAAAGAAATTCGTCGTTACAATCAAGAGATTCAAGTCGTTAAAGAGACGCGAACCTATCGGTTTCGATTTTTTAACAATGAATCATTATTATTCGATATTCGCTAGCGTCATTTGCCATTTCTAACGAAATGACGATCGATCGATCCTTCGAATGCGGGGAAGGTTTTGCACTTTTTCATTGCTTATTGTCTGTTCACAATAGCAGCCGCCAACGGATTCGCTAGTTTGCTCATTTGTCTCTTTCAACAATCTCTTTCAACGCGCAAAAACATCGTTGTGTACTATGACAATCGAATAACGCACAACGATACTTGTAGTTGGATTTAACGCATATGTTTTTACGCAATTTTATACTTTGCATCGCCATTTGTTACGTCTTTCTTGCAACAAATAGCTGAATTAAAAGAAATCAACAGAAATGTCTTTCATTGAATTCTACTATAATTTTGCTATAATTAAATGCAACATAAACACTATTCCATAAAAAATAAAAAACACTTTTTATGCTTTAAATCGAGCAATTTTCAAACTACTGGAAAATTTTTCTCGCAAAATGTATGATAGGTGTCGAAAATTATATACGATTTTGTTTTGGCTAAGTTACATGAATTTGAAGCTAAATCTGCACTTTTTACTACTAATACTACTGTCGATGGTAAACGTTATTTTTCATAAAATGTAGGGTTGGCTTCAAAGTCGCGTAACTCGGACAAAAAGATCGTAGTAAAATTTAAAAAAACGCGTTATTGTAGGTAAAGTGTTGCAATTTTTGGCATTTGTCATAAATTTTGCGAAAGATATTTTTTTATCAAGTTACAGAGTATTAAAAGTACTGTGTTCTTTTTTCCAGCTTACAACTATAAAACTAAAAAATTTTTTTAATGAATAAAACGACGTGAAAGTACAAATTTCAAGCTTTAAAATACTTTTTTAATCTTTGGTCTATGATGATTTTTCGCCGAGTTACAATGATTTAAAAATTGGTCAGTTTTAAGCGCCTGAACGTCTCGACGCGGCAGAGCAGTGCGGCCGAGAGCGGCTGTGTATCATGCGTAACAATGGCGCGCAGTCAGCTGATTAGTCGGCCGCGCTGCTCTGCCGCATCGAGACGTTCAGTTGCTTAAAATTGATCAATTTTCAAATTGCTGTAACTTGGCGAAAAATCATTGTAGATCAAAAATTAAAAAAGCATTTTAAAGTTTGAAACTTATACTTTCACATGCTTCAAGCCGTTTTCTAAAAATTTTTTATTTTTACACTTCTAAACTTGATAAAAGAACACGTACTTTTTACACTCTACAACTCCGTAAAAACATTTTTCTTAATAATTTAATGACAAGTCGAAAACTATAACATTTTACCTATGGAACGCATTTTTTGCTGTATTTTTTTTGTCCAAGTTACGCGACTTTAAAGCCAACTTTACTTTATGAAAAATGATTTTATGATGAAATATCTCTATCAACTCTTTATAATTCACCCATTTTTTGCAAAATCTTTTCGCGTATAAGAGATTTTACGATGGCAAAGCAGCGGCTAATAATTCGGTCACGATTCATTTGTTAAGTAACAGATTGTGTGCGACTGGTATCGTATACGTTATTTTGTAGTTGCGCCGGGAGCACCTGTCGCTTGATCAACGAAGCGTAGTACGCACAGCACATACGTTTTGCGGATTTTCTCCTTACGATTCATTTCGATTAATACACGTCACGTTGATTGCATTTGCAATTCGTACAAGAAGTCTCAGCCGTCGCCAACTGAGTCAATATGGACTGAGTAATTACACGAGAAACACAAATAATCGCAGTGGCGCATACTTCTACCGCTCGGAAACAACTGTCAATATTTCCTCGATGAGTATAATTTTTAAAAGAATACTATTTTTCTTTGAAGTTGGAGAATTCGTGAATACTATTGAGAGATTAATTCATTGTCAATTGTCGAAGTTGATTTCTTTCATTAAAATTACGGGCTTATCGCAGCACTTGTATTACATAACATTGTTTTCAACAACAATTTTGCATGCTGCAATTGTTGGGTCGATATAATTTTATATTGTTAAATTATTTGATCTCTTAAACTGAGGTATTGAACAATTGATTTTCCTGAAAATTTAGGAAAGCGAGAAATTTCTCTAATAACAAGAAAAGTCTCTGTAATAGCAAAGTTATCGCTTTATCAATTGCGTGTTAATTCGTATAACATGTGCAATTACCCGCAATTGTAATGCAAAAATTAGTTAACGGTGGTACGATGGTAATAATCGTAGCATAGATATGTAGATTTATCTTCCCGCAAATTTTAAGAAAGAAACGAAACACATATTTAGTTAAACTTTCTAATAAAATTTGATTCTTTTGTTTTAGTTTAATTTTTTTTCTAAATAAGCTTGTCACATGGTAATTTTGACGATGTGTGTGGGCAAATAATCTTCATCCATCTAATAAGTTTGATTATTTAAACAAGTATAGTCGAATGTTCACACACACGATACACGCATACATAGATACATATAGATGCATATACATACATATATATGCAAGTGAGTGAATCCAAAATAGGAGTAAATCCACCGAATCTTCTAGAAATCGGTGATGCAACATTCTTTAAGGTATCTCAGCGGCGACAACGTTCAACGTTAGTTTCATTATATTTACAGGTAAGGGAACAACTGCTCAAATATATTGTGTGATATAGTTATGCGATATAGTACAGTAGCTCAAGACCACACAATAACATTGAATCACAATAGCGGAGAATACTATTGCTCGTCTCATTATTACTATAAGATAAGAATAATCGTGATAATTAAAGGCGCCGTAATATATTACAGCCGAACGAAGGATTCGCAATATCGACAGGTACGAGAATAAAATAAAAAATTGAACTAAACTAGAAAATTAATATCAATCAAAATTTGCATGCGCACGGCTCGAAAAATCGTCACAATTTCGACTCGCATATTTTCTACATTATTTCTACTTTTCCCTATTTTATTGCCCATCTTCTGTAGTTTTCCGTTTTCTTGTTCCTTACAGATCATCATCGACAAGATAGACATTTTTTTTTTTTTTAAGTTACGTAAATCGACGAGGCAAGCGTTCGGCAAAGAATTCGCGAATCGAATTGACTCGCGCTTCGTACCGGGAGTAGGTGCGCAAAAACGCACCTTGTATGTTTCGGAATCCGCAGTGGAAAGCTGTAGTCTAATGCCATTATAATCGTTTGATTCCTCCCCCCCCCTCCTTCTCATTTTGCCTCTTTCGCGGATCTCTGTTTCTGTTCGCCGTCCGATAACGGATAAAATTCGACAAGACATCGAGAAAATACGTCGTCACGGCGTTAATGAAGACTCTAACTTGTAACTGTATCTCTAGGCTCTCTTCTCTTGCTCTTATACGATACGCCAGCTTCGATTACTCTTCAGCATCGTGCTGGCAATCAGCGATAATAACGATACTCCAGGTAATAAGCAAACGCGCTACGATCTAATCACTTCTTACGTACAACTACATCGACAACTGGTATTTACTGTCTCAGCAAAGATTTCGCGAATCTAGTAGCTTAGGATCTCAACAAGTAATGTAACTTTACTCGTGTTTGTCACAAGATATACTTGATCGAATAGCAATGGATAGATGTCGATATATAATAAATACACGACAATTTTTTTCAAGTACAACATTTACACGAAGATACACCACATATATAGAGTGACACGTATAGACTTTTTGCATATGGATATATATATATATATTTTTTTTTAACACGAATAACGCGTTTACGCTACTTTCTATATTGCTTCTACAAATGCCTTACTTTCACGAGGCCCATATATATTCGGCAGATCTCTCGAATACCATCTCTCCGATCGCGAATAACAAATAAATCGTCACAGCTAGAGTTTCCCGCGGCGAATCCTCATAGAGTTATCGTGTAATTCGCAAATCCTGCAAACGCTTCTCACCTCGTCTCTACTCTATTCTATTTTACTCTATTTTCTTTCTCTCTCACTCTCGCTTCCTTTCTCTCCCTCCCTCTCTCTCTCTCTCTCTCTCTGGATTTCTCTTTTATAAGTTTAAATACTATTTTCTATTGCGACAAATCTCGCGACGTCCTCTATACATTCTTCCCAGCATGCATTGAAAATGGGGAAAGAACGGAAATTAATTTTGAAGAATTTACCGAGAGACGACCAAGATTTGCGACAAGCATAAGCTCGAACGCTATCTACCTCTCGTAGTTTCCTTCCTCTTATCTCACCTACGATGACAAAATGAGCGAGTGAATCGGTAAATCGTATACGCCCGGGTATACTTCGCGTGAATTATCGCGTTGCTTTCGCGACGAAGGTACGTTTCGATTTAATCGCGGTCGTAATGTGAAGAACTTCTTAAAATACCCGACCGTGTCTTCTGCCGGTTTTCTCTGCAGCCATTCAAAGAAACCAAATCGGGCGGTTCTTCCCGATGCGAGAATAAATTTTACAAGAATTTGTCATCATGAAGGACACGCCGGGCACTTTTCATCCGAGATACCGATCACACGATATCAATCGTCGTAGCTCTCTTGTTATGTTTCTTTCATTTATATCAACACACTCCGTATTTCCAATCGTAAATTACACTTATGTTACATATTCTTTGTGTGATTCTGTAACTTCGCGCGTAGAATTGTGCTTTCGGCATTTCTTTCTCATGCACTTAATTCTACAGTTAATATTACATATTTTCTGAATTCTAAGCCTTTACATTTAGGAATAACTTTGCATCGCGTCTGTTTCCTTTCTTATTATATATTTTGAAACACGTCTAACAAACATATCTCTTGCTATCGCACGCTACGATATAACGAGATTTTTGCTTTTTTTTTTGCTTTTTCCTAATTTTTGCATTACTTCAGGCTTTAATCTATCGTTATTTATCTATTACATACACAATACGCTTTTAGTCGATCTCGTATCGAGATGAGTATCGATGATGCAGAATACACAGAAATACAATTCTACACAAGTTCTGAACTTTATTTTCGCCTTCATTACGGCTAGTCTTATCCGGAAGTATTCGAAAACGCGAGGTTTCTTAAATTCTCGGATGTTCACACAGCGCAATCTATTTATGGAATATATTATTTTTTATAAATATCAAATGTGTATTTATTGTTGTGCAACTTCGCCGAATCTATCTTGTAAGTGAGATCGTTTGTCTCTCTCCAAAAGTATCGACAGTCTATAAAGAAAGCTTTATCGGTTATATTTCTACATTTACATGTTAGTTCCTCAAATGTTATCAAGTGCATGTCAACAATTGTGCTTATTGTCGATGTTTGTGGCCTCCTATTATTTATAAAAACAAGTATAAATATTTCGATATTAAGTAAAGAAGTATGATGACAAAAACAAAGAATAAATTATCTCTCAATTAATCATTATTTAATCAAAATCTAATTAAAAATTAAATACATCAAAGATATCAAAGAATCAAAGATATAAATAAACAGTATAACAATATAAAATAACTTCTTTTTATAATATGTTAAAAAAGAAGAAGAAACAAGAGACATTTCGTAAGTAAATAAAATAAAGAATGAAGTAATCGATTAAAAATTGAAAATTTTAGAATCACCGTTTTATTGGTCCTCTTCTTCATTCTGGTAGGTGACATAACGCACAGATGATTTTTCACCAATTATTAGCGACTATAATTTGACAAAATTTAAAATTAATAACAAATTCTAGCAAATTAATAACAAAGTCAAGGCAAATTTTTTAATAATATTACCTTTTGCTCCTCTTTCGTCGGTGGTGCTCTTAAGAAATACATAAGAGGTGCGTAAATAAAATTTAACAGAGCAATACCAAAAAGCATCCATTCGAAACCAATGCTGTTGACCAAAGTTCCACTCAATGCAGGACCTACGAAAAAAAGCAATCTTTTGCTGAACGAGTTAATGTTGCATATGTTATTTTTAAGTAATTTTTTTTAAATAGCTAGAGAGTTTTTAGATAATTCAGAAATTAAATACAGTAATTATGACATGTTCATTTATATTTTATACAATTATATATTTTTTTAAGTATAAAAAATTTGTTTATATATTGTTTCCATAACAAAAGTAAATGAGCGATTATTTTTAATTATAAACACTGTTCATAAAATAAAAAATAAGTTGGTTTTAATGTATAATTATTTGCTTTTATTTTAAATGTTATGTAAATTTTTTTTTAATTAATTAATTTTTTTAATTTTATATTTTATTATACTATGTAATATTTCTAATAAGGATTATTGTAGCTTGAATTATTTGAAAACTCAAGGATTTCGCATAAGCATCGGTGGTTCAGTGGTAGAATGCTCGCCTGCCACGCGGGCGGCCCGGGTTCGATTCCCGGCCGATGCAAAGATATTATTTTTGTATCGTATTTTTTTTAATTATTTTAACTTTTAAGTATTAGCGAAAACACATTTTTGTAATCTATGCTAGAACAAGATTAAAAGAATTATTTCGTATCAGAAAAAAAGAGTACTAATCCTGTTGAATAATTATGATATCTAAAGAAATTGCTTAAAATAATGCTATCAGAATATGTTAGCAGCTTTCAAAGAATTAAGAATTAAAATTATTAGATATTTTGCTAGTATGCGTTTATCAAGTAAGTGAAAGAAAATAAAAAACGGAATATTGACTCCATGCGCACATACCTATAGCAAAGCCTAAACAAAACGCTACGTCGCCGATGGCATAAACGCTTCCATAAACAGCGCTATGCCTTATATCGACCAGATATCCTAACTCGGGCATCATTGAGCTATCCACCATGCCAATGGCAAATCCTAAACCTGCATTCGGTACAATCAAGTGGTCGATACTCTTCGCTAGCGGAATCTGCGAAACGATGTAAGATTGAAACATTTTAATTCGGAGTGTAACTCAATTAGAGTTGTTATTCATCATTGAAAATCTCTATAAATTATATTTTAAACAATTACAATTATATATTTAGATTTAGACATTTATTGGCATGTTAACCGATAATTTCGGTGAATTCTTTATAAAATTTTTTAAATATACCTCACAAAATATACACAAGCGATATAAAGTTTATTTTACTTTGTCAATAAGATAATACTTACACACATCAAGCAGATACCAATAACTACAAGTCCAATCAAGGAAGCTAACCACCTGAAACATGCGTATATCATAATATTAAACATTATCGGTGTCAAAAAAATAATTTCCGCCCGAACAGGGACTTGAACCCTGGACCCTCAGATTAAAAGTCTGATGCTCTACCGACTGAGCTATCCGGGCAAGATGTTGTCTAATTTTTTATGATTTCCCCAAGGAACTAATTAAAATATTTTTAGAATATTTTGATGAAAATACTTTAATAACAATTTGGCAATTTGCTTTATTGTCTGATCACAAACCAACCTGCCCATTTTATGTCCGAGTGGTCCGAAAAGATTTGTTCCAATCAAGTAACTAATGCTTGCTGGTAAAAATGTAGCGCCTTGTTTCCAGCGACTCGCGCCCATCGTATCCATCATCCAAATCGGTAAACTCGGCTCTAACATAGCAATACCCATATTCGCGAATGTTATTGCACCTGAAATGTTAATAATTGCCTGATGCTTTTACTTTTTACTTAAAGAATAAAATTATTATTTGGTCATATTTTACATTTCATAATTTTTCTCTTACCAGCCGCTAAAATGATATAAGGATCGGTGATGAGAGACTTTAATGACGGTGGTTCCGCTTCCGTATATACGACCGATGGTTGAAGCATTAGAAGCTGCAATACTTAAAGATTTTATAAGAAATTATTACGTTGTGTATTATAAAATACAAATTAAACTACGATAAATCTTTATTATTAATTAACAAAATAAGAGCGAAACACAGTATTATAAATATACGAATTTTACGTTAAATTAAAAATTAACATCAAAATTTTATTTACTTAATATAGTTAGTATTACATATTGCGAGTGCATTAACACTTACATCCATCACCAAGGGCTAATGCAGAAAGTACTAAAAATGGGGCAGATTTCCCTACAAATTCGTACATTACTCCGCCGAATGGGGGACCGATAAGGACACCAAGAGCTAGTCCGCCTAATGCAATACCCATCGCATTACCACGCTCTTTATCATCTTGATATCTTTCGGCCAACATACCCATACCTGTATATCATAATGTTACAACCATGTACTATCTGCCCATGTAGAATAAACCGTATCTCAATAGCATCGGTGGTTCAGTGGTAGAATGCTCGCCTGCCACGCGGGCGGCCCGGGTTCGATTCCCGGCCGATGCAATCTTTTTATTATTTTTGTAATTTTTTATTACTTTTACAATCTGCAGATATCTGTACGGCAGACATAGTAGTCCGTGATAATTTTGCATTGTAATTCTTTTTTATATCTTTATATCATTCTTTTTTTTATCCTTTAATAGATTTGCAATAAAATTTATGTCTTATTAAAAAAAAAATTTATTACAGTTAAAGAAGTATAATAAGAGTTTTAAGGAAAATAAGAAATGTTAAAAAGGTAGAACCGAGCAGATAAGCATTCTATCACTGAATCATCGAGATACTTATGTAGAATTATTATTACCATTTTATAGATAATAACAAGACAGGATAATTAAATTAAAATATAGATTAATATAAATAATTGTTCACCAGAAACGCTAGAACACGATGAACCGATACCCTGAAGAGCTCGCGCTAGAAAAAGTATGCTGTAACTTCGTCCAAAAGCAAAAATTAGCGTAGATAGAAACATTATAATAAATCCAGTAAACATAGGTATACTGTATCCGATCCTAAAACAAATAATAAATATTAATCTTATTACGTACTTATTCGGTATGTTTTGTTCATAAAATACTCGATTAGTACAAGATAAAAAATTGTATGTGTACATGAATTACAAGAGGAAGTGCACACTTACTTGTGAGTTAAAGGTCCAACTATAGGATTAGCCAACAATTGGACAAAAGCCTTAGAAGCAAACATCATTCCTACTGCCACGGTCTCTTCTAATAATTCCCGATGTCTCTGTTCCTTTTCCATTGCTTCCGGTGACGTGCGATTGCCTACAGTAACTTCTAAAATAAAAAAAAGTAAGTTTTCGGTTGATCTCCATATTCTGGCCATGTTTTCATCAAACAGATATTTCTTCATTTATTTCTTTGTAATAAATAATAATTCAACGATACACGCTTTACCTGCTGCCAGCTCCGTGGAAGAGGTTGTAAAAGAATGTAGAAATTCCAATTGTGAAACAGTCGATGTGTTCGGAGCACAAGGACATTTTGGCGTTGTCGTTGTTGTTGGCAATACGGTAGTGGCGGCGGTGGTTTGATGAGATGCACTTCCTTCCAAATGTTCACTTAATGTTGCATTAGGATGTTTGATGTCGTAAAGAAATTCCGGTATTATTGGAACTATAAAAATTTATATATAGGCAACGGTATTTAAGTATTATTTGTATAAAAAGCAAAAGAAATACTGCAATATTAATAAAGTGAGAAATTTATACTTTTTACAAAACACTTCTAGTAGGATTAGATCCATGATTCAATTATAACTGTCGAACATCTATTAAGATAATAATTAAAAACGCGTTAGCCTTTTCAATTTACACGATAATTTGTAAAAAATAATTCAAGTTAACTAATTCGGAGAAAGAGAGAGAGAGACAGAGGGAGGAAAGGGGGTTGAGAATATATTTAAAGCCTCAGTTATTAACAGGGGGTGTAACTCAGTGGTAGAGTGTCTGCTTCGCATGCTGAAAGTCCTGGGTTCAAATCCCAGCACCTCCAAAAACCTTTCTTTTTGCTTCGTTAGGATATATTTCTATATTTCGGTACTTAATACTAACGTTCAAAAGACGATTTTAAAAGATAAGTTTATTAAAGAATGAAATTTAAAAGCATAAAAGAAATTTTTTTTATATTTGTAATTCGATAAAAATGATATAAAGATTGTATGTATACACGTAAACATATAATTAATTAAAAGCTATTTTCACGATGATTGAAAGTGAATCTCGCGATTTGTTCGATAAACGTGACGACGTTGGTTTATGTACACGATGATCACAGTCGACACGGTATTGCATAAATGCATGACCACTTTTCTAGATTGGCGGCACAATACATAAAAGTCCATACGTTTTGTCGACGTTTCGAACTGGTACAATAAACGAACGTTTTTTGAATTAAACATAAGTTCACGCGACCGAGACGAGTGGTGGTCGTCGATAGGATTCAAGAGTAATGGAAAGGAAAGATTGAAAAGCGGAAAAAAACCGAGTTAACCGCGTAATAATATAGATTAAGCTTCAAAATATTTGCGATTGATAAAAGGTTTGTCCCCACTTTATTTTTATTTTATGAATAAACTGTTTCAAATACTTAAACATTTGTCTTATAGACTGAGCAAAATTAACAATTTGATTTTTAGAGAATATTATGACATTTCCAATAGAGTTTGTTTCAATATTATGTAATGTACACTAATTGTAAAAATAAACAAAAGTTTATCAATATAGATGTTGTAGTTAATTGTCTGGCGCTTCGATATAAACTACTATAATTTATGCACAAACGCTCAATCTTGATGCACGCACATATGTCATAAAATATAATAAATAGGCCACTCACCTACAGTTGTTAGCAACATATTATCCAACAGCAGTGCGATGGCAACGATGACGAGAACGAGCCTCCGAGATTGCCGGCATCGTTGCAACCAACTGCTCCATTCCCCACCTCCCATTCTCGAATCTTATCCTTCCGCTGATGTTCTGTAACATTAACAAAACGCATTGTAAATCACGGTTATTTAAAGATAAACAACGATATAGAAGGCAATAAGAAGTGGTATTGTGGAAGCGCAAAGATAAATTAATATACCGATTAATACGTTTTCGGCTGCGATTTCAGGCTTTCTTCAAGTTCTTCAATAAAGAATTCTTTGTGAAACTTAAATCTTTTTCTTTCTTTCTATTTAAACTGAAGAAAGCCCGAAACTGTGACCAAAAGTATTTGGTATATTAATTTTTAACAGTTTTTGCGCTCCGACAATCGCGATTCTATTAATTTTTTATCATCTTCTACATCCATGATTAACAAAGTGGACAACGTGAGAGAAAAGTTTAGTTATGTTTTGCCGCGCCCTTTCTTTATCAATTTCCGATGAGAGATCTATTCTTGGCAGAAATCAAGGTTGGCAAATAGAAATTACGAGAAAGCAACGATTTTACCGGGCGAATCGAAGGAACGTCCTTTCACGTAAGATGAACAATTGTATCCCGTATTGCGTTAACATTTTATCGCGTTCGCTTCTAAAGACTTTTCCATTAGGTTTCAATTAAATCGACACACCTATCGAGCTTTTCATACGTCGGAAAAGGAGGATGTGTATTTTACCAAATACATTGCGAGCACTAATTGCGTATTACAAAGACTAGAAATCTCGAAAGACGTCAAATTAGTGTCTTAAAATGTACAAAACAACTTGCCGTTTTTCTCCTTATTTAGAACTTAAACAAGTAGAACTTACACGCTGATCCCGCAAGGATGACTGAATCGCACAGTCATTTGGGCTTAGCAAACCCACGGATCTGAGCTCACACACTGCGATCATACATACACACATACACTTAAACTCACATTTACATTTATACACAGTGATTTAGAATTTTCAAAAATAAACAGTTTAAAAGTGTAAATTAGATTCGAATAGTATACGAAGTTATGTTGTAAGCGTCGGCCAAATAGGCATAGTTTGTGACGGCTTTTTATATTTATATGTTTTTTAAATCTGCATACTGATTGTTGATATTTTTTACTAATTTGCGTGCGCACATAAGAACAGTTAATAACTTAAGAATTGTAGAGATAAATTGCAGGCCAGAGATCACACTTTTAAAGAATTACAGTTATAATTCAGTCCAAAAAGTACACCCGTTTTATAGACGAAGCGCCGAAAACGCTTCGCTCGTTTAAAAGGGAAACATTATCAGCGATCTTAACGGCCGCAGCCGTCAACAAGGCGAGAGCAACACATTACAATAAG